TTCTTTTATCGTCAGTATTAACATTGTTGAGGTTCAATTTTTAGAATTCCTGTTGATTCTTTCTGGAATTCATGCAGGTTGGGATGATTACTCTTCTTACCTTGACAGGATTGCTTGTATTTATGCTTTTCCTTCTGACTGCAACTGTCAATGCCATTATCGTCTCCCTTCTCCTTTCTTTGGCAGCAGCAGGAGGCTTCTTGGCACTATTTTTTGCTTGTGTAACTGCTATTTATATTGGGGCATTATCTGTTGCTGCTTTTGTTATTTCCACTGCAACAATTTCAGCAATTTTCGCTGTTATGGTGGCTACAGGTATTGCTATTTGGGATATTCTCTCTCTCTCTTCCTTTTTTGATAAGTTTTCCTTCCAGGTTTTTCCCAACTGCTAAATGGTTAGTGATTTCTCATTATTGGAAACTGCATTTACTCAAGTGATGTCGGTTGAGTTTTTTTTAAATTGATGTTGAATTGCTTGATAATTTTTGGAATTTAATTGGCTAAGCTTCTATCTGAAGCTGATGTTAAGCAGTATAAGGCCTAAGGGCTTGTTTTAAGATCCAAAAAAGGGATGTGGTACTATGATATGAGAAATTCTATTTTTCTGTGTCATCCCCTTGCAATTTCTGCAATGTTCTTTAATTCCTAAAAATCAATGTTAAGTCATCTGAGAGGAACGCATCTACTAACTTGCATGTTTATTGTCATGCCTGTATGCTGATATATACCTTCTTAGTTGTATGACTTTCATTATTTGGTCTACTGCCTTTCCCTATTCTACTGTGTCTTAAAGCTGCGCACGGATGTTGTGGGGTGCCTGCTCATATTCATAGTTGCTCGGCAATGGGATGTCCGGGTTCTTGTATACTTGATAGATTTACTTGTTCATAGTGGAATTGTTGTACCATAAATGTTGGGGCTATGACTAGCTAGTAATTTATCCCATTGAAAGCCTCATGCTCAAAAATATTGATTTGTTATGTAATGCTTGAGTCTTCTATTTATAAAATCAGTTCTGGTTCTTCAACTATATAACGGATTTGTCTTTTAACTCTTGTTTTGGATAAAAATTGTTTTACTCAGGTTGGATTGGGTTCTTTTGTGTCTTTTGGTTGGCTATGAAGAAAAGTGTGGGTCTTGCTAAGCACTCATTGCGCATCACTGGTTCAACACTTTCAGCTTACTCTTCTGCTCAGCGTGCTCGTCACCAGAATGAACCGGAATACATTTCAAATTGAACTGTTGCTACAAACTTATGTGCGTAGATGTTTATATGCCTTCAATACTTGTATATGTTTAATAATATTCTGGACCTTGTCTATAGTTTGGGAGCATTTATTTCTTTTAGTACTGAGTCTGAAGCATATTTTATTTATTAATTAAGGATTTTCAAAGGACTGAAGCAGTTGCGTTCTGTATATTTATACGTAACAAAAAATGAAAGTTTTAAGAAGTTTTAAGGGTATGTTTGGTTGGGGGGTAATCCCTTATTATTGAGATAATCACTGTTTTAAAACCTGGACCGGACCGGACCGGCCGATCTGACCAGTTTGATCGGGAGTCATCTTTTACTTCGGTCCGGGTTTACATAAAACCGGGAATGTCAATAAACCCGTTTTGGACTGGTAATGGACCGACGGAACAGTATAAAATCGTCGAACCGACCGATCTAGGGCTTAAAACGATTCGTCTAATTCAAAAAAATTCATATTCCTAAACTAATTTCAGCACCATTTTATTATCTTCCATTTTCATCTTCAACTGTAAAGAAGAAGTAAAGGGAGGGGAAGGGAAGGCAAGGAAGAAGAAAGAGAAGAGGAGACACGAGAAATAGTAAGGAAGAAGATTAGAAGAAAGAAAAGAGGAGATGAAGAGAAAGAGAAGAAGAAGAAAGTGAAGAAAAATTACAGTAGAGGAAGAAGAAAGAGACAAAGAAGAAAGAGAGAAAGAGAAGAAAGAGGAAGAAGAAAGAAGAAGAAAGTGACGGGGAGTGATGGGGAAGAGAGAGAGAAAAAAGGAAAAAGAAAGAATTTGATGGAAAGTGATGGCGTGATGGGGAGAGAGAGAAAAGTGAAAGATGGAAGTGATGGGGAGAGAGAAAAAATAATTAATAATAAAACTTGAGGGTGTATTTACTTTATTTTAAACTCACAGGGGTTTATATGTAACTTTTAGGGATGTATTTGTTAGTTTTCAAACTTATAACAATTAATAGAATTGTTTAAAGATGGGACTGTTACATACCGGTCAGACCGATCGGTTCAATCGGTTAGACCGGTCAACTCGCGAATCGGCCCTTTGACCGGGTCAATGAACGGTCCGATTTTTAAAACAATGAGATAATGTCATCTTATATTACTTGATTATCTTTTTTCTTGCTAAGTAAGTAAATTGTATTAAAAAGAAGAAGGATTTACAAAGGTCTACAAAAAAGGCGGCCAATCTATATCGGGACATGTCCTGTGTAGGGTGCAAAAAATAAACAAATGTCTAAACTTGACGTTACACAATTCTCTTGACAGCTTATCTAAACCAAAATGGGAGATAAGACTCAAGAGAAAGAATTTAGCGAAGAAATCAATAACAGAACACGACCCTTAGGACAATCCCCTGGGTTTGGCTCGGAAAAACAATGAGACACAAAGAAGACCCAAGGCAAAGAAAACAAAGAGAGTGAGGATACACCGCGACAAAGTCTTCACAATAACGAGCAAGTCAATAAGTCTCTCATCGAAAGAACAACATCTCACCCGATCACATGGTCATCAATAATGTTGGAAGTGGAATGAGTGTCTTTGAAGATGGTTCTAGGAAGTCCCCATGTATTTCTATTTTTATGGGAAGATTTAATATTGCTAAGGTCCATGGCTTTGTTTCTCACCACACTTTTGATAGTAGCGATAATAGTGCGAGAATCCCTGTACTCTCCCCTAGAAATCCTATAATTTTGCTCCCTCCAGACCCAATACACCATAGCCCTTAGACAAAGCCTACACAAGGTGACCTTTAAACTCTTACCTTTCCATGTCCTAGCCAAATGGGGGATGTAATCATGCCAAGGTCTAACCACATAGCCGAGGTCAGCAAGCATAAGGATCTTACTCCAAATAGATTTAGAAAAGGGGCATGCAAAAATAGGTGGTCAAGAGATTCCATACCCGAATTACAAAAACAACAATGAACATTAGTAGTAACACCATACCTCATCAACCTGTCCTTTGTAGGCAATCTCTCCTTAATAGCCATTTATAAGATCATAGAGTACCTTGGAATAGCCTTTGAGAACCACACCACCAATCAACTTTCGCTCTTCTTCCTCTAATCTCCTCCCAAGCCAATTTGCTGGAGAAATCCCCTCGAGGTGAAGGTTGCCAACAAAGATTGTCCTCAAAACTAGAAGGTGTGAAATTCACAGAGTTTCTCATGTCAATAAGCGCCCAAGAGTTTGCTCTTTTTCCTCTAATTGGCCACTTCTAGTTACACCCATCGATCACAACACTCACCTTAGCATCCTTAGCAATCTCTGTATCATAAATAATCCTATCCCCATAGGCGCAAACAAGGGGGCCCTTTGGTTGTCAATTATCAAACCAAAGAGAAGTGGTGTTACCATTGCCAATGACATACTTGATATTCTTTCTAGCTAGTTCCTTATTTTTGAGGATGTGCCTTCAAGACCAGGTACAATTTTGGGGAATGTTAATGTTCCAAATGCTTTTATTTCTCAAAAGATGAATTCGGACCCAAGAGATCCACAAGGTATGGTTTCTATGGTTGCATAGATTCCAAATATGTCTTAAAGAAGCTACAAGATTCCTTTTTTTAGATCTCATAAACCCAAGCTTGCCCTCATTTTTTGGGTACACACACCTTCCCCAAGCTATTCTAGCTTTGTGTCTATTCATATCAACCCCGAACCAAAGAAGGGCTCTCAAACTAGCATCAATTTCCTTATGAAGTTTGGAAGGAAAAATAAAGAGAGGTGCCAAATAAATTTGGACACTCCAAAGAATAGACATAATCAAAATAATCGTCCCTGCATAGGATAAGAATCTGCTTCTCCAAGAGGCAACTTGAGCCAAGATTTTATCCAAGAGAGGTCAACAATCTCCAAAGGTTAACTTAGAGACAATAAGAGGGACACCTAAGTATTTGATTGGGAGACTACCTTCGGGAAAACCTATCAAACTTAAGAGTTCCATCTTTTCATTACCACTTACACCGAAGAGGAATACATTGCTCTTATCAAGGTTTGCACTCAAGCCTGACCAACTTTCAAAAGTAAGTAAAACATTCTTAAAGAGAGTAATAGAAGTACCTTTAGCTTTATAGAAGAGCATGAGATCATCTGCGAAACAAAGATGAGTCAGCCTCATTTTCTTGCATCTCCAATGAAAACTAAAGTTCGAATTAGCTGCCACTCTATTTAAGAGCCGAGAGAGAACCTCCATAGCCATAACAACAAGTAAGGGGATAAGGGATCCCTTTGTCTCAGCCCTCTTGAGCTCCCAAAGAAACCCACCAACTCTCCATTGATAAGCACCGAGAACTTAGGAGTAGTGATGCACTTGGAAATCCAATTGACTAGTACATTTGGGAATACAAAATTCTTTAGGACTTGTAAGAGAAACTCCCAATTAACTGAGTCATAGGCCTTCATAAAATCTACTTTCGAGGCACATCTCTTTTCCTTGGCCGAAACTCGATTGTAATTGTGCACTAGCCCTTGGCCTAGGAGGATATTATCTCCCATTCTTCTATCACCAACAAAAGCCACTTGTGCTGAGTCAATGAAGAGAGGTAGAACATTTTTTATTCTATTTGCAATGATTTTGGTGATGCATTTATAAATTAAGTTACAACAAGAAATGGGCCGATAGTCTTTACACAAATAAGCATTATCACACTTGGGAATAAGGGCAATATAAATACAATTTACCTCCCTAAGAAGATTTAACTGCCATAATTACATCCTTTCCCACCACATCCCAAGCTTTCTTGGAGAAATATGCACCAAAGTCATCTGGTCCAGGAGCTTTGTTATTACCCAAAGAAAACAGAGTGTTCTTGATTCCATCATCTGTCACTTCGGCCACCATCCCATTAGCCAATTATTTGTGATGCAAGGTTGAATAAGTTCCTCTAACCCTTGGAAATCTCTCACACCCCTTGGCTCTTCAAACACTTTTTTAAAGTGGCTAATTATTTCCTCCTTATTGCTCAAAGGATCATCAATAACCATGTCGTTGTCACACTTAAGCTTGTTGATTCTATTCCTATTCTTTCGGCCATTCACACACTTGAAGAAATAGCTTGTGTTTTGGTCACCCTCTTTAAGCCATTGCACTCTAGATTTTTTTCGCGCAAAAGATTCCTCGGCATGACTTAAAGTTTTAGAATTAAAGGCTTTGGCTTTTTCCTCAAGAATAAGGTTCTCTTCAAGAGGATTAGAAGCAAGATCATGCTGGACCCTTAGGAGGTTCTCTCTAGCTTCAATAACTCTTGCCAAAATATTCCCAAACTCTCTCTTGTTAAACACTTTTAACTCTTCTTTAACTCTCTTCAATTTAGTAACCAATTTATACAGAGGGCTGCCCCTTACTTCTTCTTCCCATGCCTTACTAACAATGCTAATGAACCTTTCATGATGAGCCCAAAAGTTGAAGAACATAAAAGGGATTTCCTTAGGAGAAGTACTAATTCCATAATCAACTATGCAAGGAGAATGATCCGAAATGCTTGGGGGAAGAAAATTAGCTAAGGAGTTATCAAACACACCGCCCCACTTTTCATTCACACAAAACCTGATCAATCTTGGTAGTGATCCTATGTTCCCTATCTCTCATATTACTCCAAGTGAAAAAATTACCCATAAACCGAAGGTCTTCAAGCCTAGCCTCATTACACATATTGTTCAAGTTCGAAGCAAAATTACTCCGCCTATAGGAACCCCTCATCTTGTTTCCGCTATTCTTCTAAAACCAATAGTAATTATTGTTGGTAATATAAGAGGTAATCTGTTTACTTCTATTTCTTAGGTATTTTAAGATTATTTGGTAATCTTAATTTTGTTACAATTTTATCCCTTATTAATAAAATTTTAGGATAATAATGCTCTTGTTATCTAAACAATTTACAAAAAATTTATGGACAATTTTAACCTCATACTTAGAATTTTTAAGATAGAATTACCCTTGTACTTCAACAAAATTACCCAAGACCACAACCACCCCTAGCCACCACCCCGATTACCTAAAAGGACTGTCGGCCACTGACCACCATCGTTGGTTGTTGTTGGCAGTCACTAAAATGGTGCACGACCGGTAGGCCATGTGTCGGTGAGGCTGTTTCATGGCCAAAGATGTGGCTGAGAAACGACCATAGATATGGTCGTTTCAGATGCACGACCAGCCAGATTCGGTCAGTCGTGCGCAATCACAGTGATTGTTGGCGACGACCATTAGTGTTGGTTGGCTGCCAGCAGTGGCTTGGGGTGGGTAGG